GTGGAAATCGGCAAATAAGTAGCTATTAATCAGCGTTCAACATAAGCAGTAGCCCAATGGCCTGGGGCCAGTAAAAGAAGCATGTCGGGCAAGTTGTTTGACCAGTCGCTAGCCCGTTCTTGCCAGTGACAGTCAGTGTGGCTCATTTAAAGGACTGTTGCTAGGTATAATGTGCCCTCTGTAACGTTTTCAGCAACTTGCAGTATTGTTGCCATTAAGAAGAGATTCAACTCGAAGCCTCATTTGTTTGCGTTTTCTGCCCCTCACCTCAAAAACACAACTGAACTATGAGTGCACAGATCAGTCAATGAGGTCACTGCCCCGTCTGCCGCCACTCCACTCTTCTATATAATTCAGCTTAAGATGTGGCTTTGGCTAGTGAAGTTAGCCTGCTTTCGTCCATTTTATTTTAATTAAGAGCTCCGTTTTGGGTTCAGCTTTAAGTTAGCTTTGCCTAACTCGCTTGCCAGTTTGTTAAACCAACACTCGATTCCCACACTCCACCTGTATTAGTGCCCTTCAAAATAAAAGTCCTTGTCTAAACAAACTCCACACACCCCAGCATACACGTCTCATTTTTAATTTGAACTACATAGAGCAGAATGACTGTGCTGCAATATGAATGAACGCAAAAATTTAATAATTAAATATTAATTAATATACATTAAAAATAAATATAAACTTATTTAAAATGTTCTAAGAAAAAAAAAAAAAGAGTCACTTCTTAGTTGTTTGGACAAATCATTGCAGTTTACGATTCATAATTTAACAGTTTTATGGAAAAGTGTTTTTTCCCCAGGCCAGTAAAAATATACAAAGAGCCAGTAAAACTCTGATCTACTTGCCCAGGGGCCAGTGGAAGAATGTTACGTTCACCGCTATTAACATTCCAACAGAGCGAGTTATTCGTTTTGCTCATTCAAAATCGGCACCAAAGTAGCTGCTGAGACGTGAGTGTTTTTTCCACAAGGCTGAAGTTGACTTCCTGTTTGCCAGCTTCTTATTAAAAATTTGCGTTCCATTTCAAATGCACAAGAATGGAGTAACATGTAACTGCTGCTCCAATGAAGATGGAAAAGAAAATAAATAAGAGGGCGACTAACTATAGCTTCATATTTCCTCCTTGTTCCGGTAACTGACCAGGTAATGTCTTCACTAATGAGTTACCATATTTGAATTTTTAGCATGGGTATTTGACTCTCACGTTAAGTAATGTTGGCTGACTGTCACCATTCAGTCTACAACTCTTTGTCCATCATTATCGTACTTGACCGAGAAATCTCACCATTTCAAACGGTTTGGCTAATCATCCATTTTTTCTAGTTACAAGGCAGCTTATCCAGTTTTGAGAGCTGCATAGTTGAGTTTTTTTATGATTGTGATTATCACTTTAGGAATACAATGGATTGTGTTAAACAGAACTATACAAACCATTCCCAAGATAAGGGTTGCACAATATTGACATAAAATGCGATGTTCGATAAAGCAGTCTGATATTATGATGATGATGATGATGACGACAATGATGAGAAGCAAAAAATTACTATTAAAATAATGAAAATAATTAAAATTTGACTGGATTTAATAACCTTAACAACATATCCTAGGAAGACCTCAACTGTAAGTTGGTGACTTAACAGAGTCACATGGTCAATCATGTTTTTACCCCATCAAGTTTAAAGACAAATTTCCTTCTTTAAATTTTTTTTGGAATTCAAATTCTCCTTCTTGGTATGAAGAGCAAGTTTTGTTTAAATAACAATTTGACAGTTTTCTTTTGCTTAAAGAAAAAGCACGTTTTTTCACATATATCAAATGTACATATTGAAAAAAATCAGGTTTTGGCCCAAACCTGAAAATGGTGATTTAAAAGGTGATTTAATAATAACGGGTGCTTATAAGTGCTAAAACCACTTTCAAGAAGGGGATACAATTTGTGGGGTTTGGTATCATTCCCAAAACTGGGCTTTTGTCTGTTGTTCCTTCAGGTATGCAGTTTTAGATGTTGAAAAATGGCAAAATCTAAACAGCTTCATATTTAAATGTATCTTTAATATGTTAAGTCACTGCAAAGCAAAAAAAGTTCCACTATTATAAACACTGCAAAGAGACTTTTGATGGACTCTGTACCTCACAAGCACCTAATTATTCAACGGATAAGCAAAGCTCCTCCTCAGCTCAACAGGAATGAATGCCCTGTGGCCAACACTAAATGGACAGCCTTTTCCTACCAGACGAAGCTGCTACTGTCTGTCTAGTCTTGGTTTTTCTTTTCATTCCATTCTTTCTGGGGGGCCCTTGATCAGTTTTTTACTAAGGCGGCCCCAAATTTGAAGTGAGAGCCTTTACTGAATTAGGCTGGACTTGTGGGGAGCAGACACACAATCAAGAAAAAAAATCTGCACCCAAACACCCACCTCAGGCTCCAATTTTAAGTTTTTTTTCAGTTAGGCCAATGATAAGAAAAGTACACTTACCCACCAATCAAAATGCAAACAAAAACATCATCTGTTTAGAAAAAAATTAAGGAATGTCAAGCCAAAGGTTTGAGTCACTTTCTGTCACTTACAATTGCAAACAACTATATACAATTTAATTTCTATGAAGAGTTAGAGAAGTGTGCCACAAACAGAAATCACATGAGGGATGAACAGGTACATACTGCTAGCTAATGAAAAGACACAGCAGGCTGATGCAATGAGAAACTATTTAAAACAGGACCATTATGACAGGTTAATGAGAGGTTTCACCAGTCTGACATTTACTTACAGTTATATTCATATATTTACATAGTACTGTGTAGCTCTGTCTACTTCAGCTCCTTTATCTACTGTTTCTACCCAAGTTGGTCCAGCAGTATTCAGAGGCTTTTATGAAAAAAAATACAATTAAATAAGTCAACTCATAGCCATTTAAAGCAATTAAATATAGTAGTTATCCCATTTTCTTTTCAATTACATATTTACCTAGTGAATATGAAATTAAAAAGAACAAACTAAAGACGTCTAAAAGAGCCAAGCACTAAACAAACTATCATCCCCTCTGTACACACCTTCTTTGGTATGTGCAACAGGTGAATTTCTGACACTGTTTCTACAGATGGATGTGTTTCATCATCTCTTCATATGCTCTGAATTGGTAAAAAATAAAACTGAATGTTTAGGGGTTTTTGGTAAAGCCATTATGAAGACTCGATAAAAAACACGTTTTATAAAACACAAGTTTTATAAAAGCAGAAAGACCCTCGAGGATGTGTGTTCTCACAGCAATCTAACAGTTCAGGCGCTCACACTGTGGGAAAGCCATGGAAATGAACGGATGGCTTATTGCTCTAGAATATCACAAGTCATAGATAAAACAAGACATACAAAAGCTCACAAGCTCAGTTTAAGCAGAGTACAGCATGATTCAGAAAGTCTGGTGGATATTATCCCAGTTATTGTGACTTTTGGTTCAGTGTCAAACATGTCAGTGTGAATTCTAAGCGCATCAGAACTAAAATGCGTGTTGCTGGGATTTTTTTTGCTAGGCTTTCATTTCATTTTTTTCAGTCAGTTACTCCACATCAAAAAACATGTGACACGATCACAACCAAACAAGCCTTTCTGTAGTCAACTGTGGTACAACTGCTAACAGGCTTTTACAGCACTAAAAGAGAACTTGACACTATTATAGAATACCTATTAAACCAGACAACAAAAAAAAGAAAAAAGAAGAAGCTGAAACCTTGATGGACCGGTAACGTTGAAATGAAAGCTTTAAAAAATAATCCCCAAAATAAAAAAATAATTAAAAAAAAAGTTATAAACGATTGAGAATTTAGGGATATATGCAGATAATCGGGCAGTTGCATGTATGTGTGCGGGTAATCAAGTATTGCAAGGGATGTGCACACCTAATCGAGTAGTAGCAGGAATGTGCGCGGATAATCTGGTAGTAGCAGGAATGTGCGCGGATAATCTGGTAGTAGCAGGAATGTGCGCGGCTAATTTATTGCATTTTGTCGCCTTGTACTTGTACTGAGCAATGACAATAAAGTTGAATCCCTCTATCCATCTATCTAATATCTATCTTGGCAGTAGCAGGGATGTGCGCAGGTAACTGGGTAGTAGCAGGGATGTGCGCTGGTAATCGGGTAGTAGCAGGAATGTGCGGGTAATCGGGTAGTAGCAGACGTTCACATATAATCTGCTAGTAGTGGAGATGTGCCCGGGTAAATGGGTAGTAGCAGGGATGTGCGCGGGTAATCTGGCAGTAGCAGGGATGTTCACATATAATCTGGTAGTAGTAGAGATGTGCCCGGGTAAATGGGTAGTAGCAGGGATGTGCGCAGGAAGACTGGTAGTAGCGGGAATGCGCGCGGGTAACCGTCAGAAGCAGAGCAGGTAATCGGGTAGCAACAGAGACATATGCAGGTAATCAGACAGTAACAGAGATGTACACGGGCAACCAAGCAGTAGGAGGAATGTAAAATCCTCCATTCTAGAGAAACTTACAGAGTCAGAATTGTTCACAGTGGTGGCGATAGGAAACAAGTATTAAATGCCTCTAAAAAGTTCTCTAACATAAAGTTATTACACTGAATGATTATGAATATGCTGCCTGATACATTGTCTTATGAAAGTTCTTGAATGTAAAACTGTTATTTTTAAATATATTCATACAGAACTACATGCAGGCATGTGCAAGGCAAAACAGTGCCCAAAGAAAACTTCTTTTCCCAGGTTTTAAAGAAAAAAAGTCTGTAAATTCTCCATAATGCACCATTTCACATCAAACCACTCTTAAACATTTTGTTTACATTTCAATGACTAAAGTCTGCAGAAATTTTGAAAAATCTTTAGAAGAATCCCTTTTACTTAAACCTGATGCAAAATGCATTCTATACTTGAAGGCCATGCCAGTCAACATGACAAGTCTGAAATCCTAAGTAAGCTAAATTAACCTTTTCACCAAGACAAACAGTAACAGCAAACAAAGAACATTCACTGTGCTCTTACCAGCTTCTCATCCACCGTGATGAGCTGGGACTCTTTCTCTTGTTTCTGGGCCAGACATCCTGACGTGCTAACTGACCTGCAAGACACAAAGTTTGGGGGAGGAAATGAGACTGACAAGCAAACAAAAAAAAAAATCTCACTTAAGTAAACAAAAAGCAACCACAATGCATTGTCTTAGGGAATGGGGTGCATCAAGGGAAGAGAGAGAAGAGCACGCAGATCCATTAGTTCTGTCTGCTGCTTTCCTGGCATGCTCCCATCAGCGAGTTAGCAACAGACAGCACTTTATGTTGGCCCACCGACCCACAGTCACCGTGAGAGCATTCGGGGCAAGAGCTACGCAAGAACTCTGTGCAAAATGTACAGCCGCCAGCTTGTCACGAACAGCCAGGGAAACTCTCACTGACCTCTCTTGCATCTCCACTACACACAGAAAGCATACGGGCGGTGGGGGAACCATGCCAGCTTTCATAATTTGGCTGAGTTTAACAGCCTAAACAGTAATTGTGGAAAATATGACGACGTTATCGTCATACAGTACACCACAATCAACTTTTTGGACTATGAGTATCATACCCTCAAACACAGAACAATTGTTCAGTGCATGAACTACACAGTAACAACTAGCTGACTGGATGTCAGCTGATGCTATGCTATTCATTATTTTATTAATTTATTTTTACCTGTTAGATTTTTTCCACCTGTTGCAAACACTGCAAAACCACTGCACTTACTCTACTCAGCTGTTTCATATGTGACACTACAGTTATGCTGGTGCATTCTGACCATTTCAACTTGTTTTCAGAGCTCTGTTCTGTGAGACAGTTCATGTATGACGACAATGTCTTCAAGTATTATAACTTCATCTTTATTAAATAGTCCTAAATCACTGTTCTCTTAATAATTATTAGGGGTTCATGAACAGAATCAGCCAAGACTGGAATCCAAAAAGGCAGTCGGCCAATTTATTCTTTGTGTTTTTGCCAACGTATTGCAATTTTATGACCTAAATAACTTGGGAGAGGCAAGTGTGCTCATGCTGTATTTGAATGCTGCTGCTACAACACCTGTACAAAAAAGTCATAGAGTAGTTATGCATTAATCATTGTGCTAAATAATTAGCTGCCTCTTCCTCTGAGGTAGTTTGTATAAGTATTTAAAATGCCATTTTGGCCCACTAAAGAGCAATAATGTTATTTATGTCGTAACTTTGGCACATGGAAAGTACTGGTACTAGTGTGTTTCACACTAAGTCTCAAAAAAGTCTCAAAACATCCAGTAATACAGAAGAGTAGCCAGAAAACAATCAAAACAAACAAAGCTGACAAGATATTAAGAAATGCTCACAAGCAAAAACAAAGCACTTCAAATGCCTACCTCCATGTTCTCCACCAAACATTTGCACTGAAAACATGAATCTTAGATAACCACAAGTTTAAAGACTCACTGTACCATTCCCTTTATAAACAAGTATGAGCAGAGCAAGAAATACAAATAACTTCTGCTGATCCTGCTGCATTATGAACGCCAAAGTATTATCATTTTCAAAAAGAATTCCAGGGGCATTTACAGAATATGGGCCCAATCCCATTTCATCCCTTGCCCCTACCACTTAGCCCTTAGCCCTCCGTTTTGTGCGTTCACACCTAGGGGGTAGGGTGTCCCAATTTTTGTTGAGATAGAGGGGTAGGGCAAAATGTTAGGGCTACATGGCCCTACAAATGGAGTGTTATAAGAAAAACAGAAAAACACGGCAGGACGGGTGCGCAGGATGGCTATTTACACAATTGTAAATATGTCCTCCGTTAAATCACTATTAGTTATGATAATCATTATATCGTCTTTGTATTGTCTAATTAATTCTATTAATGTTGTTTCAATGTATTATGGTCCTTTTTTTCATAACAAGCATAAAATCACTAGTAGTTTGCTGTTGTCTCGGTAGCTAGCTAGCTAAATTTCCTGTTCCACCTTAAATAGTCCAGCAATTCTGACGTCTGAGGCGCCAGAATGTAACTGCTGCTCCACTTAAGGTGGAACGGGAAAATCTGAACAAGAAGCTGGCGAATAGCTGAATTCAGCTTCATATCATCGAAGAATAAAAGGTGGGCAATAGTAAAGAATTGTCGCCCCCCCCCCCCTTTTTGAAGGCATATGATGCCCTAAATTAAATGAAAACCCAGCAGCGAGGTTGCTGAACTTTATCCTCCCCTGCTATCACTGAAGACGGGCCGGGTTGCCTACAGAGCACCGCTATCAGCCTCTTAATGAAGTAATGTTCTTTTTTTTTATTTGAGGTTTGTCTCATTTTGTAGGGGAAGATTTCAACCACTATCCCTTGTAACTCAGTTCCAAGGGGCAAGGTGGCACTCAAGAACAACGGGTAGGGGTAAAAATAAGAAATGGAAACAGACTTTACTTTTTGATACACAGAGGCAAGAAACACAAAAGATTAACTTTAGTACTAAAAACCACAGACTAGTGAATATAAACCTGTAGACAGATTCAGAACCTGCGGTGGTTTTTTGTTTTACACACTTAGTCTACATGTGAATTGATTCATAAAAAAAGCTATATAAAGAGAATTCGGCAAAAAGTGGCTGCAACTAAATCAATACAACCCAAACACAAAATACCACAAAGTCTTAAAGGGAAATTCTGGCCAAAATGAAAAATGCAACCATTGCTACATCTGTTGTGAACATGCCTACTTCACGTCTTATCGTGGAGCTGTAGTTGTCCCTAAAACAAAATTTCCTGGGTTAAAGAATATGAACACTCCCATCTAATGATGTACCTTAAAGGTTAAAGCACACTTTGAATATGTGCTCTGGGGGTGGATACTGCAAGCTGTGCTAGATGGCTGAGAATTGTGATTTGTGTTATATTACTAGCTGGCACCACATATGCATTCATTAGCCTCTGGATCAGTGGCTAGCAGTCAAAATTTGTTCAGCGCCTTAGGGCAGTGGTTCCCAACACTGTTCCTGGAGAACCACTTGTCCTGCACATTTTGGTGTTTTCCCTGCTCACAACACACCTGATTCAACTTATCAGCTATTTAGCAAGCCCCGTCTGAGCTGAGGTGGGTGTGTTAGAGCAGGAAAACACAATAATATGCAGAGCAAGGTTCTCCAAGACCTGGGTTGGGAACTTGTGGCTTAGGGATTCCCAGTGGTTGTATGACGTATTTGCATGATGCATGCTGGGAACTGTAGTGACAGAACACTGATGGACTTTTGAACGATGGACGAAACAAAATTGTCAATTCTGTCAAAGAGATGAGGCTGAGGGATGCCATGCTGCACAAAAGGATATGGAAGAACATAAGAAATAACACGCTAGTTTTTGGACGGAACATGCCAATAAGGCTTGCTGGTGGAGGTCATTCATCCTAAAGGCGTGTCTTACTCCTTGCTTAAACCACAGTTCAAGGTTACATTTTAAATATGACCACAGATTATACACTGACCTACAGGAGGCTAACGGGAAGAAGTCAAATAGCTTCTAAGCACTACAATAGTGCTTTCAAGTTAAGTATGTTGACGTTAATGTTTTTTGTAAGTGTTATTTTCTAACATTTGCATTATTTCTGAAGGTAAAGTGAATGGTTCTACTTAGAACCATGAGTTCTAAACGGTTCGTCAGATTGCTGGAGAAGTGTGGGATATGGTTCTATTAAAAAGCTTTTTGAACAAAAATGGTTCTTCTATTGTTACCAGTTTGACATTTTAAGAATAGAGCAATTCTCCTTGGCGCTATACAGAACCATTTTCAAAAAGGGTTTATATAGAACCATATAAAACACCTTCTCAAATCTGAAAAAACATTTTACCACGCAAAGGACCATCTGAGGATGAAATGGCTCTATACAGAACTCAATATTCTAAACAGAATCATTCCTTTTCTTAAAGAACTTTTGAAAAATCATCTTTTTAAAGAATGTACTACCGTTACTTAACATAATAGTTACACCTGTTGGCTAAAAACTACAGAAATAACATCATCTGCGCTGTTTTATGTTTGTATTTGTATTTCCGTTCTTCGTTAATGCCGCTAAGAAGGCTAACGTTGGGTCACGAAGGAACTGCAAACTAACAGCGTTTTCGTACAGTGATACTAATTACTCTAAGAACAAGAAAGTACATTACTTAAGCTTTAAAAGCACTCTGGGGAAAACTAGTCACATTAAATGAAAGCGAGAACGCATAACTGGAGAACAACAAACATCAGCTAAACCCCCTCAGAGCTGACCTAGCTTAGCCGGTTAGCTCGCTGGCTAACGGTCAACAACACCGGCCCGGAGCTCAGACACGAATATAAAACGAGCGGAACAGTTCAGTGAGCCGAACAGACAAGACAACAACCAATGCACGACACAGCAAAGCGCCTGTTATTACCTTAATGGAGTCAGTTGTGTTTTTGTGAGTAAATTTCGAAAAGACACTCGGCTCAAACCGAAGAGTGACATTGAGGAGGCCATGTTGACAGAGCGGGCGGAGCACGGCGTCCAGCGTGGTCCAAAAAACATAACGCGATTAAGACTTGAGGAAGGCCTGAATGTAGACCGGGCTACAATAACAGAACACTATACTGTCTAATTTAAAATAATAAATATCATACCCATATCTGAAAATAGGATGACGATGTTTCTTCTTATGCCTTTCTGTTAATAAGTTTCTTTATTGCTAAGATTTACTGAAAGAAAAAGGAAAGAAACAAGTATACATATTTATGAATATATCCCATATTTTGTTATTTGTATGCTCAAGCCTGTATTAGTCACTGTCTGTATGTATTTCTATTGCAGAAAATTCTAATACCACCCTTTTATAATAAAATATACAATTAAAATATATTCTTTTTTTTCTTCTTCGTCTTCTTCCGCCAGATTTTTGTCCGCTAACTTAAGTTTTTGAGATATCCGATATCCACACCATTCTGACTCCAAAATGTTCAGTCAGATCAGGAACTGTCGGCTTGCATACAGCTTTTTGATGCGACCTTCAGTTTTCATACAGTCATCAAGTGATTGTTTTTTTTCCCATAGGAATGAAATGGAGGATAAATGTTTGTACTCCCAGCTTAATTTTCAATGATACAAGTCCATTAGAAACACCCAATTAACCATGTGAGACATCATAACCGCCACCAGCAACCACCTAGGAACCACCTGGGATCCATAGCAACCACCTAGCAACAACCTAGCAGCCAGCTAGAATACCATAGCAACAACAATTAGTGACCCAGAAATGTATGGATTAATCCTTTTTACATCATGGCTAGATGTCCCGTTACACTAACAACTATATATAAAGAAGATTGACACAGCAATCTTGAAAATGTTTTGGACTTCTTGTCCACTGTCCCTCTTTCCTTTAATGATTCAGTGCGGTAAAGTAGACCTTAGCTTTGACTTTTCTGAATGGCCTTTTTAAGCTATTTTAGAAAAAGTATTGTAGTAGAAAACTGTGTACCTGTGTACATAATTTATTGTACTTCAATACTTTACTCAAGCAATACTTTAGAATTTAGAATTACCTGAGTATTGTTGAAATTGAATACTTGAACTTTTATTCAGTCACATACATTTTACTCCTTGCGTTTTTATTTGGATCAGGGGACCACAAGCTTATCCACAAAAGGCCGCTGCAGGTTTCATGCCAACTAAGTAGAATCACACCTGATCCTACTTGTTTAATCAATCAGTTGGTCTCAGTCTTCTTTGAACATGTAATGAGCTATAGGAGGTGTGCTTCTACTTGTTTGGAATGAAAACCTGCAGGCACATTGACCCTTTGTGGATCTATTAGAGCTTCAAAGTACTTGTTACAAATCTTAAAGGCCAGGAGATTTCAGTTGAGTGTCTGTGGATTTGAATGTGTTGTTTTCATCAAATGCTATGTGCTATGCTATTTTGTCTTTGTGTGAGGACCCACTGCACCATACATCACCATAACACACACCACCACACAAAGAACCGCTTTATCCTACTTTTTATACTTGAGTACCTTAAATATTGATACTTTTTAAATTTTCACTCAAATATGTTTTCACTTCTATGTGTGAAGAGTTTAATTTCAAAACTGCTATGTATCCATTTGTCACAGTTTTTGAAAAGAATGACAGTTGATGTGTATTGGAAAGCACATCATAATTTCCCTAATAAAAGAGGTATTCATTTTAATATAACACTGATATTTCTATGTGTAAAGCCCACTCCCAACAACTTCTATTCATATCAACATACCAAAAATAAAATTCTTGAAAGTGGCCTATAAGTGTTTTGGAATGAAACCCTTTATATTTCCACTTTTTGAGAGATTTTGACAAAGTACTCATAGGTTAATTTCAGTATAATTTCTCTGTTTCTTTTTCTACACTGTATGACAGCATTGTACAGATCCTCTGATTTGGATCTGGTGCACACCAGATATTAAGTGCTTTATACCAGTGTTTCCCAGTGTATTTTTTTATCTGAAGCTCCAGATATGATCAGAAGGACCCGTAAAGACAGCCAGCACAGCAGAGTACAGTATTCATTTTTTTACCCATTTTCTACCCTTCCAATGCAAAAACAAAGTTATGTGATGTGTCATTGTCAATATTACGGAGCCCCTGAATGGACATTGTGTATTATTTTAGGTAAAAATCTGGTGTGCACCAGATACTATGTGGTGAGCACCAGATACTTTCAGGTGGTCACCAGACACTATTAGGTGCTCACCCAATACTATCAGGTGTGCACCAGACACAATGTGGTGAGCGCTATATACTATAAGGTACGTACCATATACTAACAGGTGGGCACCAGATATGGTGTGGTGAGCACCAGATACTTTCAGGCACTCACTAGATACTATTAGATGCACGTGAGATACTATGTGGTGAGCACCTGATGCTATCACATCCGATACTATGTACATAGTATCTAGTGCTCATCACATAGTATCTGGTGTGCACTTGATTTTTTTAGGTAAAAATCTGGTGCACACCAGATACTATTAGGTGTGCACCAGATTTTTACCCCAAAAAAATACACTAATTAATTAAGGGGCTCCATAGCATTGACAATGACGCATTAAATAAATAGTTTTTGGCTTTGGATGGGTAGAAAATGGATAGAAAACAAAATTACTGTACTGTCTTCCACAAGTCCTTTTGATCATATCTGGAGCTTCAAATGAAAAAATTTACTGGGAAATGAAGGCGTGCTGCTAAAACACTGAAAGCTTGTCCAAGGTAATGGCAGATAGCAACAATTGCTAAGCAGTATTTGGAGGGAAATAAGGTGAGGATGGACTACCTTGCAAATTCAGTAATAACATAGAGAGTGTTGTGATTTTCACTGGTCACTATACAATAACAAAACCCATAAACCATATGAAATGTATATTTTAAAATATTAAAATATTTTAGTTAAGATAACCAACAAGCTTTGTGTATATTTTAGGCAAGTGATTGTCTTCTCAATGTCTCTGGCAGGCCTGGCTGTGTGTGGGGAGCTAGGATGTCTTCTCAGTTCTCAGGGCATGCCCACCCCCGATTTACACCATGCCTGATGTATGGTCTGTCAGCTCATTTCTTTTGTTTTAGTAAAAGGTTGAAGGGTAATGGTGTGCATCATCACCTTTTCAAATACTGCAAATCAGACAATATGAATTAGTCATTTGTTCTAATAAAGACCAGCATGTATAGAGTAAAGAGTATATCATTCAAATTATGAAAAACTAGAGGAATAATTATGATTGGCTGTGCTTATCAGTAGAATACTATATACATTATGTGTCAGATTGCCATCTTTGCACTAATTAGAATTAGCTTTTCTGAATTTTATCTATATGAATAAATATTACATTTCATTAAATTAATTAATATGAAACTAATACAAACAAAACTTCCGACCTAAACTAACATGATTTCTCCTAAATGTCAAAATCCAAAAATGTCCAAAGTTTAGGCCTATTAATTGTCAAAAGGTTGGATAATCACCAGAGACCAACCACTTAGGGCCTCCTAGACCTTCAAAGAAGTATTAATGTCTGGCCTGATTTCTGTAAAATAAAAAAAATACATGTATGTAATTTTAGTTTATTGTTAGTTAATATGATTTTCATGCTTATTGTATTTAAACTCTGCAGGTATTGTAGTGTTATTGATTTGTTAAGTTTTGGTTGGAAACAAAAAGGTTACATTTTTGAAACTCCCAACAGAAAAGTACCCAGTCAGGACTTTTTTCTCTGTGGTACGTAGGTACAGCCAAGTGAGCTGTACCATTGGTTAGAACTTCAGGAGCTCAACTGAAAGCCTAACACATTAGATTAACTAGTAACATGATTAATAAGTAATTTAATTTACAATGTGTGGGACCAATTTTGAGATATCAAAACATCACTCTGTGCCTTCTGGAAGTCTGAGATACCACACTAACTTGCTAAAGGGTATTAGTCAGTTGTCACAAATGGAAAATGGTGGCAGCAGCTCTATGTCAGGGCTCTTTAGGGCAGGAGACAGTATAAAACTATATACAAGATAAAATATACCTCCGTTACAAGCTTCAAGCAGCACAAGCCTCAAATGTCTGTGTTTAAACTACTATGGCCAAAAATGTTCACGTTAGCCAGTGTTAACTTTGCGGCAAACTGCTAATAAAATGACACTTGCAGGAATTAGCATTATCATAGAATGGCTATTTTTTCTAATGTTTGACACAGATATTTATCACTTGATCTGAATGTCTAGTGTGATTATACTGATAATCTCACATTTCACTGTTTCTTATGTTCGGTGCTAAATATTGTGTCATTGTTGACTACATTAAAGGTTTTGATGGCATTAGACAGCAGTTTTCAAGCCAGCAGGATGAGATGAGCTATTACAATGAGTTTCTGCTGGTTACGAGGACCCTTCAAACACTACAGATGTTGATTAACTTTATTAAAAAGACAAAGGCAGACTTGACAGTGGGGACCAGACTCTGATTCAAAATCATTTTGCTGGATGTGTGAGGAATTTCTCTTGAGGAAATTGGTTCATACATAGACAGACAATACAGATTACAAACAGTGTAGCGACGTTCAGCATATGGTACCAAAAGGGTGTCCTGTTTCCAGAAGTTTGCGTAATTCCAGTCTTCATATCCAGTGTATTTTTTTGAAAACTCATGCTAGTTATTCCAGAATGTTAAGAAGCAGGCCTTTTATCCACAGAGCCCCCCACGTTGTTCAGTTTAATGTGGTCCATGATGTGTCAAATTGCCATTGTTGGCGTGGCGCCTTAGCTTGACAAATATATGGCTCCCCTTACCCCCTAAAACAGGAAAAAGGGGTCCTTGCAAAAGAAAAAACAGAAGAAAGCATCCATGGCATGCCGCTTAATTTGAGTTCAGGTCTCTTCAAAGGGCTCGTTCTTAGATGGTCGGTTTCCTTCTCTGTTCTCAGGGCCGGAGTGAAGCAAGAAAGCCCCCTCTTGGGACTTAAGGCATGCCATGGCATAACACACTCATTTTCCGCTATTTATC